TGTGCTGGAGAGCTGGAACAACTGTGATTGTTCTGTCTGTCCTTCTCCCTTGCTCCATCCCCTTCCCCTCCCCAGCCTTTCTTTATCCTGTTTCTATGTGAGTCAGAAAGAGGGTAACTTGTGTGTGTGTGTGCCTAATTTCCTGCCCACTAGGTCATGTATCCCAATCCTTAACATCACAAATGAGCAGGGAAGTCTGCTGGCCAGCAGATGCCTATGCAGATCCATTCACGTGGAATTAAACACTTTTAAGGTGTAGGGACTTTTTCTTCTTTTTACCTTTTTTTTTTTTTTGGTAGAAATACAATTGTAGAACAGGGTTAGGTGGAAGTTGGGGAGCTTCCAAGTGCAAAAGTTTTGCAGACTGCAGTTCTGCTGTTGACATTGTCCACTGACCATAAGGGTAGCTCCTGTAATTTGGAGATCTTGTAGGACTCTGTCTCATGGTGCAATTTTTTCCGTTTAAAGGGGCAAAACACAATTATTTACTCCTTTCAAGAAAGAGAGCATTTCAAGAATGAAACCGTTCCTCATTCGCCCATGGGAAGAGGACAGAAGTCCAGAAGTGATTACAAATTTTTCTAAGCAGTTTAAACACAAAACTTCTGCTCATATTATGGCTTTAGGAGCTTATGTGATTCAAGGGTCTTGGGTTCCTGTTTGCATCAGGAGGGGCTTTGATGCCTTTGTAAATCAGGCCCAGAGTGGCTGTCTTTAAATGAGCCACAAGTGAGAGCATAGAAATGTTCCCAGAAATGTTCCCTTGTAAAAATTCAGACCCACAAGTGGCAGCATCCTGCCTGTCCTGTGAAATTCCAAGGGACAGATTTTTGCTTGGAGATGAATCAAATGCTACAAGTGACTGTTGTAGCAGGAAGAGAAATACTTATTCTTCCTCTCTATTTCTATTTAATTACAGCTAAGATAGTTTGGTTGAGACATTGGAAGTAGGACTGACAGCTCTGCTTTCTCGGGAAAAAAAGAGAAAGCAAGTATCTCTGAGGTCCTGCAGAGACAGTGTGATCTGTTCCCTCACTGCGTCTCAGCAGGAGCTGGGCAGCTCCATGGTCTGAAATCTGTCAGATTTTGCTCTGTGGGTCCTCACAGATTTGCCAACCTCTGTTTCTAAAACTGTACAAGAGCAGGGTTTAATGGGGTGACCCCTCATCTCCTGGAGAGAGGAATACTTGCCCTGTTAGCAGCAATACTGAAATAACCACTGGTGTTAGAGATGAACCCAGAACTCACTCTGTGACTGATCCCTCTTACAAGGTTCACATCTTTCTCAGTTCATTAAAACCTTGTGCCTCCTTTCCCAAAGGAAAGAAATGTCAATACATGAAAGAGGAAGATAAGCTGATGCTACATCCAGGTTGCAGAGCTGGAGATTTTGCTGGGGTAAGGTGCCTGTATTGGTGCTAACTCAGCCACATTGCACAGAGACAGTACAGCAGTCTCATTTCACTGGTCACATGCATAAATTAATGTAATTATCTTTATTAAAATATATCCCAAAGTATTGCCTGTTGCTAACCTGTCACATTGCAGATGTGGCTGATGATTGTACCGTGGTGGCATCGTGGAGCACAATGCCCAGGTCAGTTCTCTTCAGTCATGGGACACAGGTTTACTAGTATGAGTCTGAAGTAGCTGCAAGCCCAGTGGCACTTCCTGGTTGGCAAAGGAGATTTTAGCTGAGAAAGTCCTTTCATTACTGTAAAAAATTAATGCAAAATGTCAAATATTTCACACCCAAGTCGATACTGGCAAAATTCCAGAAATATTCTGGTTTCGCTTGGGGTGTGAATATAGTTGATCATCTGTAATTCAGAAGCTTTTATTTCAAAGGAGAGACAGAGTGTTGCAATAGACTGTGAAGTGATAAATATCAACTGTGCCACTTCTCTCCCAAAAGGGATTTCCCACAGTTCTATAGTGATATACAGTTCAAAAGGCCATACTGAGATTTATAGAGCTATACATTCAAAAAATGGTATCCGAGGCCCTTTGCTCAGCCAAAGTAGATTTGACTTGCAGCCTTCACAGTTCTGCACGACTCAGAAAGCAGCCACAGGTCCAGGGTGCCAGCAGGCCCCAGTGATTAGTGAATGTGTGGCAGCTGGGTCACTCAGATTTGGACAGGCAGTTAATCCAGTGAGTCCTCACTTGTGTGGCTGGATGTTGTGGAAGCTTTCAAATGTACTTGGCCAGGAGAGCTGGTCACTTTGGAGTAGAAGGACAGAAATGAATTTAAATCAAGAGAGAGAGAGCAGCTGATGACAGCAGTGAATTTGGCCGTCTCCATGCATGTATTATTACTACAAACTGCTCTCTTTTTCTTCTTTTCTATTCTGTTCTATTCCTGCCTATTCTACTCTAATCTCACTGCACTTAAAGCCTCACCCACATTCTAACCCACTTGCAGAGCAATAGCTTTTGTCTTTTAATGTTCACTGAATGCCCCAAAATGCTTTCTCTGAAGACAGTAGAAAAGTCTCCACTGATTTTATTGGGGATATTGTTGGGCCCTAAATGAAGTGAATTGATGCTGAAAGATTCATTCCATTATAACCTTAACAGGGTTGTTTGTGCTGAAGCCTCTGGATGAAGCACCATCTCTGAGCCATGTCCTGAAGTCATTGCCCAGTTTACTCTCATTCAGAGATCAATGGAAGCTTTGATCAAATAAGAACTGAGCAAGGACTGCTGGAGTTGTTCTAACCTAATGTACCTGCTCTGTATTTGAAAATGCAAACCTCTCACAACTTTTCACAACTTTAAAAGCGTATAGGAATTTTGAAAATACTACATTTAAATCCATTACCAACCTGAAAGCTATTCTAGTCATAGTTTCAATATTAAAAATGTTCTGGAAATGCAGAGGTTCTGAAAGTAGGTGTCATCCACCACACATCTTTATTTAAGTATTTTGTTATAGGAAACAACCAGATGCTGGGGGGAGGTCAGGTTAAAGCTATTTGACATCCATTATAGAATTCCTGTAAAGAGATGTGGAGGAAAACGGGTAAGTCAGCACAGCAAGAAACAATTCCAAAGTGTCCAAATTCCAGTGAGTTAGTTTCTGTTTGGTAAACAAATAATAACACTCTGAACCTACTATGAATAACACGATTAAATTAATTCTTACTTCTTGACTCTCAGGTTTATTAATTCAGTTCTCTGGGTTATTTTCAGTTCATGTGTTTAGGACTTGATACCCAGAACAGCTGAGCATCACCAGCAGCGAGAGGTTTTCATCTCTTCACAGTTTTCATCTTAGTTTATTTTTGAATGCTGCCATATTTTCAGCATCCAACAGAATTCCCATTCTTTTAGGGGTTTTGAAAAGCTTGGTGATGCTCCAGCATCCTGTTTTCTAACATAATAAATTAAGACTGCTGCGAAAACTCCAAAGCAATAAGAGAGTTGATGTTTGAAATTGTGCTTAGAAAAAGACATTTTAGAGACACGTGTCACCCTCAAACCCACAGTGAGCAATGCTTTGTCTGCAGCTGGCAGAAAAATGAGAGGATCTGATTATTTTGTGAGAGTGTCAGTGTTATGCCACTCCACCTCTCACATATCTGTTGGCTTGGCTGATCTGTTCTGATTGTGCCCTATCAGAATCACAAAGACACCGTGTTTACAACACAAGAGTGACACCACTTGAAAGCACACACACTGATGTTGGGAATAATGCATAAAATGGTTACTGCCATAAAATTGAGTTTATTCCCACTTCTCAGTAGCAAGCATTTGTAAAAAGTACTTTCAAAAATTCTATCAAGCAGCTCTACTTTTAGAGTGGCTCTGTACATTTGAAACTGGTAATTGAAATAAAAATGAAATTTCTTAGAAAATTTACTTTACAAAAGAAGTTTGGCATTTTTGTTCAGGGGTATGTTTATTAAAAGCCCTTCAGACAAATACCAAGAACCAAACATTGCAGGATAAATCATATTGGGGACAGATGAAAAATGTGCAAGGATTAAAACCAATTTGCCCCTTTTCCAGGCACTGAGGATGAATCCTGGCCTGACTGAACTTGCAAGTAACAGGCCCCTGGATTTCAATGAGATAATAATTTGATCCATGCGATTGCTTCTGTCTTTTTCTTTGATATTGCTGTAGTTGCCACTTCTTCTTTAATCCAAAACAACTGAGATAGAAAGGAAAAGCCACATGTTTTTATAAGAAAAGGGCAATACATAACGTTAAAAAAATGTTTCATCAAAGGTGCAACCATTTAAAATGCAAAACAGATACTACAGAGGTGACAAATTCAAGTTCTTAGTGTTTTTATTTAAGATCTTTCAAGTATTCATTTGCCAGGAATACTTGTTTAATTTTTTTAATGTATTCAGTTAACCATATTCAGTTCTCTTTTATGTCCACTTCTCATGAATCATTTGACAGATGGACTTCTACAAGCACATCCCTTTGGGAAAAGTAAATTTGAAGTCATAATAAGAACATAAGACATGCCACAGTGGATCAGAGCAAAGGTCCATCTAGTCCATACCCCAAACCTGTCAGTAGCCAAGAGCAGTATATTAGATTTTAACAGTAATAACTTTGATCTTTCAGTGAGTATTAAGTTGGTGATGACTAAGCAGAAAATGAAAGGAAATCCCAAGGGCAGAGCATTCCAAAAGTCAGGCGAAACAGCAAGTGAGGCCACGTCTCCCTGTGCCTGAAGGGTCTGTGTCTCACAGGGAACAGGCACCAGGCTGAGCAGGCCCAGCTCAGGGTACTATGGGGAATTAGGGCCAGTTGTTCTGCTGCAAAATGGAATGTGTCAATAAACTCCAGCAACATGGAGGGGACAGAAATGGCTGGAGGAGGGAAGAATGCAGGGTGGACACTGGGAGGTCAGGGCTGGGGGCAGCTTCATGCTGACAGGGGTAAGTAGTTCTACCAAAAGGGATGGTTTGGGATTAGGAACTTGGCCTTGCACATGGTACATTGGCAGTGCCTGAACCCTGTTCTCTCATTTCCAGAGTCAGAGCTCCATTTGTTCCAGTGAGATTGTAGTTAAAAGTTCTCAGGATTTCGCTCATCTTTAATTGCTGCTGTCTCAATTAAATTGCATCTGTGATAACAACAGCCCTCCTGGAGCCCCAAAAGGAACTTGAACACACTGTGAGTAAATTAAATAATTGTGTAAATTATAAAGTTTTTATCTACTGGTTATTGCATTAAAAACTACATATAGAGTACATACTTTTTATACCCTTCCTACTTTAGAGAATCTTATAAAAAAGGTGTTTAGCCTGCCAAAAATCTACAAGGATCACTGATAATTTGTTGATCAGCATTAGGTTCATTAAATCTATGCACTTCATTATCTGATTAATTCAGAGGCAGGTTTGTAATCAGAGATGAAATGTTTAAGATTCTACAGCTTTGGCCTCCACAGCCTCCTGCAGCTCATTAGAAAAGCTAATCAGATTGAATTTTCCACCATGCTGTTTATTGTAGCCCTAATGGAAGACAATCACTTTAAAATTACACACTTAGCAGGTAATTTCTAAAAGCCATAAGCTAAGGAAGCTCTGTTCTCCCTGGGCTCTTTGTCTTTCCTTATTAGGGTAAGGTAAGCAACGGAGAATTCTGTTAGAATTTGGAGAGGTACTTTGCAATACTGAATGCAATATAAAAGCTGCTGAAAAAATATTTTTGTCCTTACCATGTTTATTGACACCTGGGACCCCTTTCAGGGATGGTCAGTAATGTGTGATGAGTTTGATTTAATACTCAGAGGCATTTCCTATGTTGTGATTTTATTCTTTGAAGAATTGAGAACTTCCTTCATGTCCTTTTATCTTAAGATGAATAGCATTATTAAAAAAACAGAACAACTTTTTGATCTTGGGGTTTCACAGATCAGTTATAAACACTGTTGTGCTTGAGCTTTCTGAACTAAGTCACTAGTGTGATCTGAAGGAAAATTATGACAATGTTTAGTATGAAGAACCAGAAATTAAGGTGACTTAAAGTAGAGAGTATTCTTAAATTTTTAATAATAGAATTTCTGTGAATTATGAGAAATGACAACAGAAGTTGACGTTCCCCTCTTGCACTAGCAGTGTTCCTGCCACTGCTCTGTTTTTCTGAAGGGTAACTGAATTGGGGAATGCAGCAGGGACAGCCAACACCCAAGTGAGAAAAACTGTCATTCCACTTGTTGTGGAAAAGATCCTTTCAGTAAAGCAGGTATGAAGAACCTTGGACTGAGAGCCTGATCCAAGGTGGCAGAACAATTCCTCTGGCCCGCTTTACTGCTTTTTCCATCATATGGACAAAAGTCCATTTGTGCTTTGACTGTCATCTGTGTTAGTCTCTTATTTTAATACGTGAAAGGATGGGCTTTCCTGTGACTTATTGTAAGTAGATCCCAATGTAAACCTTCCCTGCCAAACCACGTTCATCACATCTCTACCTACTGGCAATAAAGGGTAAAGGCATATCCACAGAACACCATGAAGACGGTGCATACCTAATACAGATGAATCCTTTTGCCACTCAGCATGCTCTAAATTTGCCAGCCTGAAGGGCTGGATCCTACTTTTGGGATCTGTCTTCTTTCCACGGGCCTGACTCTACAAAAAACCAGCAAGTTGCTAATGCCAGCTGTGATTCCTCCTTCTGCATGGCTGTGACAGCTTGAACAGTGAGCACCAGTGGTGTTTGGGTCACAGGAATGAAATGTGCTGTGCAGCAAAGGTCAGGGGTGAAGTCATAGCAAAGTATATCTCCTTCAGGGGATGACACCCCTGCCTTTTGTTGGTTAGAATGATATTGGGGGGGTGAAATACTGGATTTATAAAAATAGACTTGGGTTAATGCTATGTTATTCCATAGGATCTGCTCCATCAAACTGAGCTAAGAGAAGGGAAGGGCACCCGTTGGTGCATCCAGCCCGTGTCGGCCTCGCTCTAAAAGAGTATTTCTTGCAGTGGGGAAAAGTGAGTGTTTGGTTTCCATTTCATGGGGTTACCCTGTGACCACCCTGTGGACTGCTGGGTGTGTGTCTGGCGGAGCCCTCATCTACCTGTCCTTCTGCAGACCGGGGTTCTCAAAGGGCTGAATTCCCCCCGTGCTCACCAGTCATAGCCCGTACGGTACGGAAGTTTAGTTTCGAGGGCACAGGTATAGACAAATCCTCAGCTTAGGAGTCTGGGTGACTTTTCTCTCATTTTGTGCAGGAAGTGTTATTTATTTTTACTTTTCCCCCGGTGCCAGTGGCCGCGGTCGCGCTGAAACCCAAGCGCCTGTCCCATGCCCCCCAGGATCACCGGACAACAACATGGCGGCCGCCATGGTCCGGGCAACGTGGCGCCCCCCTATGCATGTACCGTACAACAAAATGGCGGCCTCCAGGCTCAC